TCGTTTATCTTACGTGTTGTTGCTTTTCCTCAATTTACACGACGTGAAGGATTATGTCATAGAGCCCTTTTTACTCTTTCTCCATTTTTACACGCAACAGTCATGCCTCTCTATTTCTTCACACTATCACTTTTACCATAGAAAGTTTATTTTGAGCACATAAATAAGTTTAAATAAAAATATTATTTTTATATATGTACGTAAAAGGTATATAGTAACCATTTGGTTGACCAAAAAGTAATATCAATTACAATGTTTACGAATCGTTTAAATAATAATTTATTGAGGGGGTTAATTCAAGAGCAAAAGTATGAATTCCATAAATATATGATTGAAAATATGTTTGAAGAAAAATAAATTTAAAAAAATGAAGATCAAACATGTTAACAAATGAATACATTTATTTTTTAAGAAATGAGTTTTTATTATCATTTCATTTTTATCATAAAATGATTCTAATCTTAATATGTTAGATTGTGCTTCAAAATTACATAATCTATCAAATATAATTTTTAAAATTAATTTTTATAAAGTAATATGTTTTTATGATTTTTTTTTTAGTAAAGTAATAATGGAGGCTAGCCTCCGTGTAACGGAGGCATTATGGTAACAGAGGCTCATGTTATGGAGGCTCAAGCATGAGCCTCCATAATAATGGAGGTAATTGTTATGGAGGCTCAAGCGTGAGCCTTCATAACATATTATATTATAAAATTAATCAAATTTTAATTGTTTTATATTTTTTAGTACTATTATATTATACATTTCAAAAAAAAAAAAAATCATAAAAACATATTACTTTATAAAAATTAATTTTAAAAATTATATTTGATAGATTATGTCATTTTGAAGCACTATCTAACATATTAAGATTAGAATCATTTTATGATTTAAAATGAAATAATAATAAAAACTCATTTCTCGAAAAATAAACATATTCATTTGTTAACATATTTGGTTTTAATTTTATTTTTCTTCAAACATATTTTCAATCATATATTTATGGAATTCACACTTTTGCTCTTGAATTAACCCCTCAATAAATTATTATTTAAACGGTTCGTAAACATTTTGATTGATATTATTTTTTGGTAATCCAAATGGTTACTATATACCTTTTACGTACATATATAAAAATAATGTTTTTATTTAAACTTACTTATGTGCTAAAAAATAAGCTTTCTAAAGATACATGGTTGATGGTGTGAGAAAATGGTGAAAGAGATAGTGTGGAGAAATAGAGAAGTATGGTTGTAGCGTATAAAAATGGAGAAAGAGTAAGCCTCCATTATTTTATGTATTTTTATTTTAAGAATATTAAAAAAATTAAGTTGATTGAATGAAATTAAATTATTATACTGAGAGCCAATGAAGGAAAAAGAAAATAAAAAAAATACACACACATGAGCCTCCGTTATTATGGAGGCCTTCATAAAGCCTCCGTTATGGAGGAAAACCTCCATAATATATATATATTTTTAATATATACTAAAATTATTATTTTTTTTTTATCCAATATAATTTTTAAAATTAATTTTTATAAATTAATATGTTTTTATGATTTTTTTTATTTATAGTAAAGTAATAATGGAGGCTCATGTCCTCCATTATTATAGAGGCTCATGCTTGAGCTTCCATAACATATTATATTATAAAATTAATAAAATCTTAATTATTTTTTTATTTTTTAGTACTATTATATTATACCTTCAAAAAAAAAAATCATAAAAAACATATTAATTTATAAAAATTAATTTTAAAAATTATATTTGATAGATTGTGTAATTTTGAAGTACAATCCAACATATTAAGATTAGAATCATTTTATGATAAAAATGAAATGGTAATAAAATCCCATTTCTCGAAAAATAAATATATTCATTTGTTAACATGTTTGGTTTTCATTATTTAAAATTTATTTTTCTTTAAACATATTTTCAATCATATATTTATGTAATTCACACTTTTGCTCTTGAATTAACCCCCTCAATAAATTATTATTTAAACGGTTCGTAAACATTTTGATTGAAATTATTTTTTGGTAATCCAAATGGTTACTATATACCTTTTACGTACATATATAAAAATAATGTTTTTATTTAAACTTACTTATGTGCTCAAAAATAAACTTTCTAAAGATACATGGTTAATATCGTGAGAAAATGATGAAAGAGATAGTGTAGAGAAATAGAGAAGTATGGTTGTAGCGTATAAAAATGGAGAAAGAGTAAGCCTCCATTATTTTATGTATTTTTATTTTAAGAATATTAAAAAAATTAAGTTGATTAAATGAAATTAAATTATTATACTGAGAGCCAATGAAGGAAAAAGAAAGTAAAAAAATACACGCTGGAACCTCTGTAATTACGGAGGCTCAAGCACACATGAGCCTCCGTTATATATATATATTTTTAATATATACTAAAATTATTATTATTTTTTTAATGTTGTTGGCATGATAAGTGTGTGGAAGAATATTTGTCAATCACCATAAATAAAATTCTTCACAAAATGCAAAAAATAAAAATCATAATAAATCTTCTTATTACGCTAATAAAATTACAATATATTTTTTTATTTTTACAAATAACATAAAAAAATCATTTTTATTTTCAACAAAAAATACATTTAAAAATTAGCAATTTCATAACTATTTTTTTTTAAATTTTCGAAAATACAATTATAAAAAAAAATATTGAATTGCAACATTTAATACTTAAGAAACTCAATATTAAATAAATTTTATACATTTATAACAAATTATAAATCCATATATGCAGTTTACCATATTTGCAGGCAGGTATGCTGCCTACCGTATTTGTACCTTACCGTGTATGCTGCCTACCGTATTTGCAACTTGCTGTATTTTTATATATAGATTTTTGCACTTACAAATACCTAGAATACAGAACACCATACATTCACTTACCAAACTGAATTTCAAATTTTTTTTTCAGATTTTTATTTTTTCAACATAAGTATAAAATAAATATTCAATATATATGAAGCACTAAATATAAATACATATGAATATGGTGCCGAGAGAAATCAGTATCGTAGTCTTACGTTACAAATATTTTTTTTTCAATTTAAAATTCTTTTTAATTCTTTTCTCTTCAAAATTTTTACTTACAAGTAACTTTTTATAAAATAATTTCTGTCTTATACTATCTTTATTTTTTAATTTTTTGGGAGGTATGGAAATTGCGTGTTGCAGTGTTTTCTTACAGTATAAATATTTTTTAATTAAAATTGAAAATTAAGTTTTTTCATAAAGAAAAAGAATTAAAAAGTATTTTAAATCGAAAAAAAATATTTATAATATGAATAAAACAAATAAAAAATAAATAAATGCAAAAAAAATAAAAAACGAAAAAGAAATCTCCATGCATCCTGCGCTAATGTAATGAATCAAACGATTAGACTTCACCATATATTTCGAATTTTCAATCAATTTTGAAAAATCTACAATTTGGACGCTAATAAAAATACAATAAATACAAAATTTGTGCAACGCACGTGTCAAAAACTAGTATTTAAAATCAAATATAGTATTTATTAGGTTTCCTAGGTGATAAACCAATTGAATTATGGTTTGCGATTCAGTACAACAAGTGTCTCGTCATCCGAGAGTCGATACCAACCTTTAATACATGCATTAATCACTTCTACATTCTATAGGTGCAAAAGCTCAACAAGTTACCAATTCATCTTCCTTGATTTGTGCCTATGCAACAAGTATTCTAGGGTTAAAGATATATTTTCATATAGCTTTCGAAAAATAAATAAATAATAATAATAAATTCTTTTCCAGGTCTATCTATCACTGTCTCCAGGAAAGCATCTTCAATAATTCTTGTGTGCTCTATTATGGCAGCTTGTGGGTCACGTTAGTCCCGCAAATTGAAGACAAAATTAGGGTTTTCGCGTTTTTGGTCTAGTGTGGGAGATTTTGAAATGTTAAATTTTGGGTAACTGCTTTCAAGATGATGCATTTTGATGTGATTGGATTTGATTGAAATCGTTTTATCAAATACATGGCAAAGGCATGTTATGGGAAGTGGTGTTTTCACTAATGTGGATGGAGTTAACGATGTTTGTTGCCATGTAGAAATTCCACGAGTATGTGGCGTTTCCTATCATAGTTTCAAGGACGATTGTCTACAATTGATGGATGGGATACATTCTTCAAAGCTGAGTTTGTTACGTGAAAATGAAGGTAAGCAATATAAAAATAATAACAAAAACAAAATATTTACGTGAAAATTTAAGACGAAAAAAATCATGAACGAAAGAGGAAAAATTTTATTATATCAATGATGATTATAAGCAGTGCGATTACTCTAGATATATAAAACCATAATTTACATTATATTTATAATAAAATAGATCTACACCGTGCGAGCAAAGTTTCACCACATATGTCGTATTACAAGCTTTTCGAGCTGGACCAAGCAAAATTTGACAATTGATTGAGTTACGAGTTATACGAGTTATATTTTTATGTTTAATGGGTACGTCAAGTTCAGTAAATATTTATTTAATTAACCCAATATTTATCTTCTACAGACAACGACATTCATGATATTACTCAGACTAATTGAGATTGGGTGAATTAACACAATACGCCAGCTTGGTATTTTACAATGTCACATAGATTGTACATTATTTTTTCTAATTGAGTGACTAGTTATCATGATACATTATTTTTTCTAAATGAATGACTAGTCGTGAAATAGATTTTTTGAAATAAACAAAAAGGAAACAAAGGATGAAACATAAATCATGATCGACATATGATCTAGAGACTAAGCCTCCATTTGAGCCCCATTACTTCTTATTACATTAAATTAAAATTTTTTCTTTCCTACTTTTAATTACAAATTTTCAATAAAATAATATTACACGTAAATCAAAAATTTTTCAATAACTCATTTTTCAAAAAAATACTATTCATCACATTATAATATACAAATAATGGGCTCAAACGGCATTATCACTCGCAACATTGGAATCTCCTTGTAGTTTGGTACACCGGATTCGCCTTCTAAATTTTATTTCCGATTTTATCCTCGTGCGCGCCCTTCAAAACCCTAATCTTGGAACTCTACTGCACTCTCGACTCGAATCTCTCGGCGCTATCTTACCTACGGTAACTCCAAATTTCAACCCCTGAAAAATTATCACACTAATTTATTTTATTCTATTTTCGATTTTATGAACAATGTTCACAAATCGGCAGTTCATTTTCTAACTCGAGGCTTCTGACAAAGTACTAATATTTTTTATACTCTATTATTATGTAACTTGATTTCTAGTCGAGGCAATTAATTTTTTTTATAATGTTTTATCGATCAATTTCTTGTACTGATTTCGAAAATGAGTTGTTGAAAATAGCTAAAATTTTATGGTGACTTTACCCTTCAAGCGAAATGGATTAGTCGTGGTGATTTTTGTAGCTGCATTTTGATGTTTTTTGCCTTTAAAACTTTTGTTGCTCCTTTCGTTTCATGTTTGCAATATGCATTGAATTTATCAAATTCTTTGTCATGGTTATGTTCCTGCAATCTTAGTATTTTTGGATATGTTTAAATGCGCCAAATTTCTCGAGTTTGTGTGTGTGTGTGGGAATTTTTTATTTTTTATTTGAATTGTTATATTTTTATGATGCCAATTGAATTTCATTAGGAAGAATGAGTCGATCAAGCAGAACCCTCTATATTGGCAACCTTCCCGGTGACATTCGTGAGAGGGAAGTGGAAGATTTGTTTTACAAGGTGATTTTATATGAATTTGAATTTGAATTTGAATAGCATTGGTAAATTCTTTCCCCCTCTTGTTGGTCGTCCCAAATCTTTTAGGATTTTATGATTGTAATTTCATCTGCATTATTCTAATTCTATTGTCTTCAATTAATTCCACTGGTGCATTGACAAATCCACTTAAAATATATGGCGGTGTGTGTGCTTCCGTGTCTTGTTGTCTTGGTCATGCCTTTAGTAAGTCGGAAGCACGCTGATGGATAATTAGATGAAAGGACAGTTTTGTGCCTTCTTCCGTTATAACATGGAGGTATGGAAGTGAACAAATTGAATGTTTTTTGCTGAACACGGCTATAGCTCATGAGACTAGGTTACTCACTTTAGTAAATAAAATATGATCTAGAAAATCATTTATCTTTCAATAGGCCTAACTCCCAAAGCCATCAATCACAATGCACATCCCTGGATCCTTCAGTTGAAGAATATGGTTTTAGAAGACTGCCGCAGGTATGAATAATGACAGATGCAGATTGTATCATTAGAAGCGTGTCTTCATAAAATGCCTCTACTAGGGAGAGAGTTAAGAAAAGCAGAGTCAGTAACAAAAGTAGGTTTGGTGTTCTGATCACGTGCTTGCATGTTTTCTAACTCACCAGTGTATTAGGTGAGGTAGGTAAACGGACACAATTTCTTTTTGTGTATGTGTGCTCACAGATTAATATTACTAGTAAAATATAATTCAAAGTGAAGTCATTGACAAACTTGATATTGAGAAGAACTTACCCTCTTCCATATGATTATAGGAGTCTAATCATTCCATTCATAAAATAGATTTCTCTGGTTTCTAATGAGTTTGATTGAGAATTTTATTTTCTTATAGTTTTCCATGCTTGATATTGTTTATATTGGGTGTTTTTATTGCAGTATGGACCAATTGCACATATTGATCTGAAAATTCCTCCTAGGCCTCCCGGTTATGCTTTTGTTGAGGTGAGCGTGGTTTCTCTGAGCGCTCTATCTTCATATGTGTGTGTTTTGATCTATCATAGTTCTCGCAACAGTTTGAAGAGGCTCGTGACGCTGAAGATGCTATTCGTGGGCGTGATGGCTATGACTTCGATGGGCACCGGCTGCGGGTTAGTTTTTTTATTTGAATTCTTCTCTTCAATACTGGTCATTGATTTACTTAAATTTATTTATGCTTTGAAATCTACTCAGGTGGAGCTTGCACATGGTGGGCGTGGTCACTCATCATCAACGGATCGTTTAAGTGGTAATAGTGGTAGTCGAGGTCCTCGTGGTGGGGTGTCTAGGCGCTCCGAGTATAGGGGTGGGTACATTTCATACAGTGAATGTTAAATGTTGAATAACTACAATAAATGCTTCTTATGTGTATGCAATATCCCCTCATTTGACTCATTCTTCAGTGGTAGTCACTGGATTGCCCAATTCAGCTTCATGGCAAGATTTGAAAGTAAGTCTTAGTTCTTTGTCACTTATCTTGACCCACTAACACTACTAGCTAATAGCTATATGGTGTCCGACTTTTTGAATGTTGTTGTCATATGTTTCTCATCTAGGATCACATGCGTCGAGCGGGGGATGTGTGCTTCTCCCAAGTTTTTCACGAGGGAAGTGGTAAGATGATAAACAAGGAACTTTTTTCTGCAATGTATAATTTTCTTTTACATTTCAGCTGTATGTTTGCTGGGGGTGATTTGGAGGATGAATGAATAAAACTCCAACCTTTATTATTATTATTATTATTATTTTTTGGGGAGTGGGTGGACAGGAAAGTATTTTGGAGGCAAAGGTAGATGTCAAGTCAGTGGGTGAAGATCATAAAGAAACTTTTATATTCTGTCTGCTTGCATACAGTGCTATAGGCTGTTCGAACTTCGAAGCAATATATCATGATTCGAATGGGAATTAAATCAGGTTTTGATATTATAAATATTCTGTATGACTGTGACCCATTGGTATCATATTACTTATTTTGTATAAGTATCATGGAGCTTATACTACTGTTGGGAACATTGTTTTAGAGTTTGCTGTATTTTGACTAACATGCAACATTTGCTTCTCCATATATTGTGCACCATTGGCCATTTTGGGATTTTGTGCACCTGCACATCAAATGTACACACGTCAAATGTACCCGAGAATAATTGAATTATCAAGAAAATAGTTGTTGCCACTTTACCTCACAACTATGTTCATACTGATTTCAGATTGCATTGTGTTAATTGATAATTTTTGATGTCAGATATTTATACTGTTAGGCATTATAAGCATCTAAAAGTTCCTATCCAAAAAATCAATGTATCTCCTTTGACTTTACTGGTGAGTAATCTTGCTTCCAACAGCAACAAACTAAGCCTAGTTCCTTATAATATGGAGTTGGGCAGTTGGCTACATTAATATCTTTTCTCCACCCACTTGGTGTCCTGCTTCCGTGTATTTCAATTTTGCATGGCTCATCTTCTGTTTATATTTTTTTTTCAAATTTACCTTTCGTTGGCTGAAGTTCAAAACCTTTATGTTTACAGCCTTGTGTTCAAATCTAATACTAATTCGTCTGTTATGAGCAGCGTTGAAATTAGAATTGGTTTCTTTGAGTTGTTGTGGAGTTGCTTATTTTAGGTTGATCATTGTTGAAGCATCTGCTAATATTGGTTTTGCAGGAAAGACAGGGATGGTGGACTATACAAATTATGATGACATGAAATATGCTGTAAGCTGATCTTCTGTTTTTTCTTCCTATGTTTATTGTTCGAAATGACTAATTTTTTATTATTCTTATGTCTGATTGGATATCTGAAACATCTATCAGTGGATTAATAAATGGGACTTCTTCTTTCTTTTTTTTTCCCACTATTTACAGATAAAGAAGCTCGATGATTCTGAGTTTCGAAATGCTTTCTCACGGGCCGTAGTTCGGGTATGCTGCAAATATTTTAATTTTATGACATGGTAAATGTTCAAGGCTATCTTCTTGTTATTGTGGATGCTTAACTTACAATGTCCTTTCACTGGCAACAGGTTAAGGAATATGACGGAAGCCGCTCCAGAAGTCGAAGCCGCAGCCGCTCTCGCTCAAGAGGAAGAAGCAATGGTCGCAGCCAGAGCCGAAGTCGTAGCAGGAGCAAAAGGTTGGATGATATTATAAAAAGAAATCTTTATTCTGTTATTTGATTTCAGTGGTTTTCTTTTTCAATAGATATTTACGAACTTCATCAATTTCCTTGCAGCAAGTCGCCCAAGGGCAAATCTTCACTCCGTTCAAGATCTCGTTCTAGGTCTGTGTCTTCGCAGTCTCACTCTGGGTTGAAAGCACGCTCTGTATCTAGGTAACGAATTAACAATCTGCATTATTAAACACTTATTGTCTGAAGGATTTAGTTACCTCAGATTTCTTCTACTTTAACTTCTCTGTCCAATGCCTTTTTCATCATTTCTTTGTGCTGAATGTTTTAGTTTTTTAAAGCTGATTTTCAGTCTTTTGTCTCTTTATAAGGTCTATTTTTTCACTATTCTGTTTTCTTGGTGTTACAGTCAAATCTGATTTTTACATTAGGTGGTTTATTATTTTTGTCATTTTAAACTGAAGTAGATCCATCTGACGTTATTGCATAAATGAGTTAGCTAGTTTTATTGATGGATAATTCGTAAAACATGTACTTTGTGGTGGGATAATTTGTTTTGTGTCGAAATGGTATGTGTTCTATGAACTTGTGGAGCTAAAATATGTGCATCATTGTGCCCTTTTCTTGTAGCCAGCACCGTGAATATCCTGAACTTTTACTGCATAGTCCTTTAGGGTTGCCAGTACCACTTAGCTGGAGGGTGGGTTGGGCTCATCTTGGCTCGGAATGTTGCATGAGCATATAAAAGTGTTTGACTCCTGTTCTCAGCTCTTCTGCGTGTGCATGAGTCCAATGTGAAAAAGGATAATAATAATATGATAAGTTCGGGCCTGCACGGGACATGCTGGTCCCAGGTCCTTGTTGAGCATCATGAAAACCAGCACGGCCTGTCAAACCTCTAGATGGTCTTCTAGATCTGAAATTGATTCCTCATGTTACTAGCACATATAAATGGTTAAAATTCGGTTTATTTATTGACCAGACCTTTACAGTCATGTCTAAATGGCTAAAAGGAATCAACTTATTTACTGGACTCTCTCTCCAAAAAGGTGCACATTACTTCTGAGTTCTTAAAAACAATGTGCTGAACAATCCCCCGTAGCTTCAATAATTTCATTACTCCTCTCTCCTTCAATTCTTTTCTTCCTGTATTTCCCCCTTGGATTGTGCTTGAAGTGTGACATTGGGAAAATGTATCCATTTGTCAAGGAATCATCAAGCTCATTCTTTTCTCTTTAATTTTCATTTTTTTCAATTTTTTTTCAAATTGAAATCACCTCCTTTGTTTTTTAGATATGATTGTATGCGCAATTCGGGAATTGCATATTAGGATCTTGGTGGGATATGATTCAATTGCCTACAAATCTTTTTGTAGTGGAGGTATGATGTTTTATAGATGGCAGCTTTGGATACTTAATGGTATCTGTGTTCTAATGAGCATCGCAAATGTCCATGGGTGCTAGATTGGGAACAAAGAAAATCTTGGATTGCGAGTGAAGGACGGTGAATTGCCCTTTGAACATGGAAACACCCTCTATTTGTGGTGGAAACATTTTCATTGTTGCCAATGCTGTTAAGCTACCAAAGCATACTATACAAGTTCTTTATTGGTTCTTTTGGCATCTTTATCAGTCTTTTAAAGAGCATCTGTTAGGTTTATATTTAAGGTTCTGTTTCTTTTTTATTTAGTTTCATTATTTAGGTGATTTTGCTCCCTTTTTTAATATTCACTCATGCAAATTGCTAAATGTTTGCGAGTTTCCTCATCCATTTTGGTCATGGTGACTCTGACGTGGATGTGGCATCAAGGCTTATGGATCAAAGTTGTTAAAAGAGGCATGAGTGGATATTAAAATTGCGTTGTTTCTGGAACTTTTGCAGATCTCCATCAAGATCCAGATCCCCAACACCATCTGTAAGTTCAATCTTTATGTCTAGTTATAAATGTTTGCTATCCAGTATCTCATTAACTGATGCCCTGTCCTGTTTGTTTTCTGGTGATCTATAGATAACTCTAAGTGCATGTTTGGTATGCAATACTAGATAGTAGTGGACAGTGTATAATAAACAAGATTTTAGCTTCTTTTTCTTCTTTAGTATCATCTTCTAGTGCTATCTAAAAATTTGAAGTGGAGTTAAGTGTTGGTTTGCCTTTGTTTTTCATATTACCTCTTTGTTTCGACTTGGCAAATTTCAGCGCCAGAAAAGGGTTGGTAAAAGTCCAACTAGACGCAGTTCCAGTAGAAGCCAAAGCAGAAGCAAGAGTCCCAGCCGAAGTCGAAGCAGGAGTCTCTCTAGGTAGTTCATTCTAAATCACCACGCCATATGATGTAAACCATTCTGTTTTTGTGATCCAAGTGGATTCTGTTTTCTCTCTGCTTTTAACAGGTAACAAATGGCTGTGGTTTGATACAATGAATCCCGATGTTCTGAGTGAGAAAGTATCTTCATTCCTAGCAAGGTTTTCATGAGAGTCTGTTACATGTTATGAGCAGATTGGAATCATCGTTTGTGTGTCATGTTTCACGAACAAATTTCTGGAATTCTTGAGGCACCGTTGTTTTGTCTCATGTATGATTTGTATTTCATGAGGAATCTTATGAAGGCTTTAAAAATATTTAGAATTGCAATCCTGCAGTTATTATTTGTCGAGCTATATTGGTTTCTCGGTTATATTGTCGATTGCACTTGTTATCGTTGACTTTGAAGCCTGTAGATTGTTGTTTTGCTGTTTAATTGACTTGAAAAATTCATAATAAATTTGTTAGATATGTTGCTAACTCCCTCTGCGTTCCAAGTTGTGGTGCACGAATCGGAACATGCAGCTATTGCTTTTGCATTACCATCTTGCCTTGGGGCTGTGGAATAATATAAGATACGAAATTTGCTTCAATGCAAAAATCTTCACAACCACGAGGTGCATGCAAGAGAATGCTCTAGTTTTACATGTTTGATCAATATAAAGAAGGGAAAATTGTAGTTGAGGTACCAAACCTTTCGTTTATTAACAGATTTTGTCCAAATCTTTAGTTTGTGCCACCGTGAGTAACAAACTTTTAAAAAATGTGCAGATCAAGTCCAAAATGACGATTTCCGTTAGTTTGATTACCAAAACCGTCAGTTAACTCCCAAAATAAATAAATTTATTACTTTCCTCAAATAAGATAGGGGTATTTTAGATAAAATTTTCCTTAATAAATCAAAAATTAAAAAAACAAAAAATAAAGCTACAACCCATCTTCTTCCCCAAAATCAAGATCACTCCGTCGACAACCACCAATATCCACCCAAAACCACCACCACTAGATGGCTCCACCTCACCCACCTAATGTCAGCGCCATCCACCATCCAGCATCCATCGACAATGAGCATGAGGATAGCATAAACTACACCCGCTATCCACCACCCACCTATGCACTATCGATAACCACCGCCACCAATTCAAATTATGCTTCAATCTCACCTGAATCCATATCCTTCGCGGCCACAACCTCTAGCCCAACGCCTCCTCAAAACTAGGCATTAGCATCGCCTCAAAAGTTGCAACTCCCTCAAACCTTCAAAGAGAAATTGAACCTTCAGCCACCTCAAGCAATCGAACATTCACTTCATCGTCACCATCAAACTGCTACTTCTGCCATCGCTTTTCCTTGCCACCGCCATTTTCATTCACTAGAACAACCATTTATGCCACAACAATAGCAGAACTTCAAAATCAAATTTAATTTTAAAATCAATTTCGATTTTCAGATATAAAGTAAAGAAATTCGTCACTCTTTTCATTCTTCCTTATTAGGTGGCAGCGGTGATGGCGATGACTTTCGACGGCCTAGATAGCTGGGGCGGTGGTGTTGGCGTTCGACAACCTGGATAGCGATGGCTACCTATCGCCTAGGTTGTAGCGGTGGCGACGACTTTGGGGCAGGGAAAAAGGGGTAGGTTTGGGTGCATCTAATCTTCTTCTTTTTTAATATTTTATTGTTAAATTATTAATATATAGACAATTATATCAAACATTTATTAAGTTACAATTTTACCCTTGTCTTACTTGGTCAAAATTATTAGATTTTTAATTTTTGAGGTCAGTTGATGGTTTTGGTAGTCAAACTAACGAAAATCGTCATTTTGGACTTGAACTGCACATTTTTTTAAAGGTTTGATACTCACGGTGGCACAAATTGAAGGTTTGAGCAAAGTCTGCTAATAAACGAAATGTTTGGTATCTCGACTACAATTTTCCCTATAAAGAATATAATAGATTCCCTTATTAACAAATAACCTTATTGACGATGCAGATCAGCTGATGATGTATATAACGTCTTTTCTTCGCTCTTTCCTTTTTACTTAAGGGGACCTGTATGCTAGATAGCTAAAAATAGAATTGATGCATTAAAGCTCTGTTTGAACTCCATTTTTGTGAAAAATGAGTTTTGAATTGTGACTTATTTATTATTATTTTTGGAAGAATGTGTGGCTATAAAATATAATTTTATTTTTTAATTTACATGTAAAATTATTTTATTAGGAAAATATGAAGCTAAAAATGAGATTAAGGAGAAATGAGTTTTTAAAGAATGATGTTCAAACAGATTTTAGAACACCTTTAAGGAGTATCAATATTGTGGCATGAATCATAAATTGCATGAATGCAGAGACGGAT